CCTGAACTTACCGGAGAGTCTGCGCATTCTTCACCTTCAGGTATTCCCAAAGGATTCCCTTAGCATTCTCTTAGGAAACACCCCAGGAGTCACACTTCAATCAAATTCATTCTAGTTTAAAACAGTTCCCACTACAGTTTTCCACTGCACCTCTGCATAAAACAATTGACCATACCAATGTGTATGGCCACGACCATCCAGAAGCTCAGAAGCTGCTAGTTCCCATGAAAGGATTTATTATTGGTTCCTGTACATCAGGGATAGCAAATGGCAAAAAGAAGCTCTAATCTTTTATCAACAATGCATGTATGCATTTATTTACGAAAATGTTTTGGTTTGCAGTACAACAACATCACCACCATCACGGATGACACGTTCTGCAAGTCCAACAACACGCGCTACATCCGCACGCGGATGGACGAGATCAGGATGGAGGGCAACCCCATCGTCCTGGCCAAGCACGTCAACGCCTTCTCCTGCCTGAGGATGCTGCCCGTGGGAACCTACTACTAGCACGTGCCACCCCACATGCCACACCCTGGCATGCTAACAAGGATCACGTCTTCCTTTGTTTACAAGTTCATATCCTCTCCCTTACTAATGCTCTTTTCCCTGCACACCCAGGACCTTCTGCTATGTTGCACCGTTCTCCTCTGAAATAACCATTTCAAACCAGTCACTTTTGTAGCTGTGGTGTCCCTCATGCTTTCAGAATCTTTTCTGTTAACAAAAGTGTAAAAATATATATACATTCATACACATTATCTCAACTTTTATTTCACCACATACTCTTTAGATAAAACCACACAAAACTCCTTATTCTCATTCTTTATCAGCACTCAGAACAACCGCCAGATTTTACTTTCAGAAAAATGCAAGATTTTCTTTGAGCAAACCAAAGAGGAAAAATAATTCTGAATTCTAATCCCACTCTTTTAATCTGGAGTGAAATCTTTTCAGTTGACCTTCAAAAGTGTATTGGATGAAGATGCAGATGAGAGAAACTTATGTTTAGAGACAGAACTTCTCAAAGCTTAAAGTCATTAACATTTCCTTAAAAACTTGATTTGTGGTAAATGAGAATAACTGCTGTTTAGGTTTAGTACACCGAGCAACATAGCAACTGGAGCTTTGTAAAGATGTTTTAGATTTCCTTCTACTATTCTGCTTTGAAAATAACATGTTTTATTTTTACACAATATATTTTAGGTGAAATATATGTTTTGCTGCATTGTTCTCACAAGAGCTGTTTTTGCAACACCAGCTTCCTATTTTAAAACAATGCTCTACATACAGCATAACAGACTCAAATACCTTTGTTACTAACTAATGATGTAGACCAAACCTTGGTTCCACAGCTTCTCCTGACAGGAAATGTGATAATATAGTTAAAAGCAAAGCTGAATTCATGTGTTTACCTGTAAATAAGAATGATTTCATCTAGATGTCAGAGCAAAGAGAATTACCCTTCTGCAGCAATACTTCTGATTATTAGGGAAAAATCAAATCAGACTTGGAAGTTACAAAGAAAAGTTGATTCCATCATTAATCTGAAATCAGAGGTAACTTCAACTGAGTGAAATCACTCAGTGACTTGAACCTAGGCAGTGTATGAAAAACAAACTGACAGGTGCAGGCCTTGACACTCAATTCATCTAAAACTGGCCATCACTGATAAAGGGCACAATGTTTTTAATTCCACAGCTGTACATTTCTGACATCCAGTTTCTCCTTTCCAATGACTACCACAGGTGTAAAGCCTCCAGACAACTGAATGCCAAAGGTGTGCTAGTTACTATTACCACATCCACTTTGTACTAATTTTGAAGCTAGTATAGACTCTAATTAGTAGATATAGTTAAGCATCAAATGCATGATGATGTATCACTACATCTAAAATATTGATTTTACAAGATATTTTGTATTAGTTTTATTTATCTTATTTAGCTAAGCCTTGATTTGTTAGTGCTTGTGTTATGGGGAATTGATACCCACGTAATTCTGAACACATTTTTTGCCCTGAACCCATTACCCATAAAAAACAGCAACCCCCAATATTTTCCATTTTAAGTTATTTAGTGTAAAAGAAGGAAATTCCATTGTCTTAACTGAGAACAAAACCAAGTCCGGCAGCAATACTTAGTTTTCATTTTTCCACATAAATCATAAAACTTTGATATTCCCAGCTTTTTAGCAAAATGTAAAAAACAACTTCAAAGCATGTAAAAATACATTCCAACGTCAAGCCAAATTTCTATTTGGAAAAAAAATTAAACCCATCAATTCTCTTACATCTCTTGTGATAAATGCCCAAGATGGAAAAAACACAGCTGTAAGGGTAATAATGTTATATAAGCAGCAGCCTCTGATCTTATTCTTATCACAAATCATTGCTACTAAAACTCTTTTCAGTAAATCACCATAAATAAAAAACCCAGTAAGCATCACCAAAAACATGTATACACAAATAAATGCGTATTTTTGTAGTATATACACACATGTAAACATACTACCTACCTACTACCACACAAGTAATTTTACATTAAAATGTTGTATATATTTTTGAAACGTACTAATTATCATCAGTAACACTAATTAATGCTATCGACACTTTGTGAGCAAACCAAAGTAGACAAGTGGTACCTTCTGAATGTCTCATGCAGGCACCAAGTTCCCTGATGTGTTTTACTTCATTTTCCCCATTCACAGCAAGTTAATCAAAACATGAAGTGAGAAAAGCTTCAGTAGGGAGGATTTCCACCTCCTATTTCTGTGACCAGTACTAATATCAAGCTGAATGTAAACCATTTTATTTTTTCCTATCACTGATTTCTGTTCTGAATTTCCAATAAAACTTGAATTTTTGTTCTTGTTTATCAGTATCAGCTTCAACAACCTGCTCTTCCAGCCTTGCCAAGATGTTTCAGTTGTTCAGCCTCACAGCACACTAAGATTAGGTTATCTGCAGATGTAAATCCATTTTACAGACATATTTATTGTGACAATAGCAAGACCTGCCATACAGAATACTTTGTGAACACTCCACTTGGTCCTTCAAAACCTATGTTGAATTGGCCTTGAATTGTCATTAATCTCAAAACATCCAATATTACTTGATGTACTCATCCACTTCTACATTATCCCTTTCTTCTCAAGTACCAAAACAGGAAAGAAAAAATAAACTACCTTTGGTGTTTTTACACTACACTCCGAGGAAAGTATCAGAAACTATTTTTACACAGAAGCCTTGGCAATTTTCTTTTTAAAAAACCCCACGCTAATAGAAAAGCTATAAACCCAAGACTCCCCCCCAACAGTTTTCTCTCCAAAACAGGGGAGTCTAGAGAGCAGGTAGGGGGGAAAAATAAATACAAATATTACAGACTCATTTTTAATTTTGTGTAAGTGTGAATATTAACAGGATAGACTCTTGAGTTGGTTTTATGCATATATTAACAATATATGTCTAATTGCTTTTCCACAAATTACTAAAACATTAAATTACAAATATACATTCTCCTTGGCAATCTAGTTATTTGAATTGTCAGATTTGATCTTTGATCCTTTTATTAATTCTTTTACCTGAGAAAGTCTTCTTTTTTGAAATTAAATCATTAGCAATGCTAAGAAAAATAACCATATGCACACAGTCAGTCTTATTTGGTAAATACTATCCCAAACTGGTTTGTCTTTCAACATTATCTTTAACCATGGAAATAAAACTACCTTTAGAAAGAACATCTGTAATACTGAGAAACTTGTAATGAATTATCTTTACACATCTTTTAGCAATTAGCAGACAGTTTCATTGTTTATGCTCAACATCTGAACAAATACTTTTAAAAACTACTTATATAACAGCAATTTGAAAATTGTCTCCAAAACTCTTTCCTATTTTTTTCTTTTTTATTATATTTTAAAATGAGAAATATTTACAACAGTTCACCAAATCACTGTCCCAGAAACCACAGTGACTACTGATCTAAGGATCAGAAAGCATGGAGGGAAGCTGGAAAAAACAGCTGGAGATCCCTAAAGCTTTTGGTGCTCTACCTTTTCTATGGAGGGATTAGAGAAAAACCCTTAGACAAAAGCCAGCAGGATCAGGCAATGCCAGTTCATTGCTCAGCTGAGGACTGGAGTTTTTTTTAGTGCTATCAGAAAACAGAACTCTTTTTTCCTTTCTGGTTGATTGGATAATAGAAATTGATTAATTCGGCACAGAACTCAAAGGCCTAAAAGACTGAAAAAATAGGAAATTATGCACTTCCCACTTGATACTACATCTGAAAAGTAAAGATGGTGTCGAGTTTAATGACAGTAAATTCTTGACGTGTGTAAAACTCAGCCAAGAAACCACAAACAATTAAGCAGCTAAACATCCTTCTCTAACATAAAGCATCATGTAAGATGTTTTGTGTCTGTAAGACTGTAGTATTTTTACTCCAAGGAATTAGTTGTTTATCTTAAAACCAGCACAAAGCCAAAACAAACAAGCCAAATACCGGTAATTTAAAACTAAGCTCAAATACTATGTTCCAGTTAGGAGGGAGGAACAGTTTATTTCCCACACAAGTAAAACACTCCAGAACTGAAAGTGCTGTCATCCAAACATATGCTGACACATCTTCAAGAGAAACAGATCTAATCCTTCAAAACCAACATTTATATGCCAAAGACTACAAGTGTTATTTTCTTTTAATTTCTTCTTTTTCTTTTTTTAAATAAAAATAAAATATAATACCAAAGCAAACTGTCTTACTCCTTCACAGAAAGGCACAGTCTTATTTTCCTCCACCCATGAGGACCACAGCAATTGCTGCTCAATTGCCCCTCAAACACAGCACAAATTTTAGCTCATACTCTCTTCACCACCACATACAAAAGTAAGATCCTGTATTATGCTAAAGACAGCCAGTTTCACTTCCAACGCTCTGTCTTACTAAACTCCTTAAAACAATAAATATTGTACTAATAAATGAAGGCTTGATAGACACTACCTTGAAATGGTGGAAGGTGCATCTACGATGTTCATGCCACTCAGCATAGGTTGAAAGGCTTCTGAAAAATGTTGGAAGATCTCCAAGCTCTTCAGTGCTATAAATCAAAAATATATTGTTTAACCCACTCATAATCAGATGTATCAACTAGATGGCCTAAAATTCACACTTCAAAAAAAATTCATTAGTATTGTTTAAATATGAAGTAGAAATTGCCCAAAATAAGAATGACAAAGCTGAAAAAAAAGCTGTAGTGTAATGATTGAAAAAGAGGTTGAAGAACACATTCCTAAACCAGTGTTTCTAGTGTTTGTCTTATATGTAAAATGTGGGAACAAAGTAGCCACCTGCAAAATCTTAGTTTGATTTTATTCTTGTTCAACTTGTTTTCTAAATAAATTCTAAGATGTTGCGTAGTAAAACCCGAACCTGCAAAATGGTAAGATTTCCCAAACTGCATCAGTAACCTTCAAATATTCCCAAAATCTTTGTCCTAGCCAACTAACTCTACATTTCATGTTACCTGCCTCTGCCCACATGACATTCAGCTTTTCAAGATTAACCTTGCAGCTTCACTAGGAAAGGAGGCCTGATGACACAGGGCATCTGAACCAAAACTTTGTCAGACAGTTAAATCTTGATGTGATCTTGTCTCCAGAGCAGAGGGGCTTCAGCCCTCTGAACATGTTCCTCACTCTCCTCTGGACCTGCTCCAACAGGTCCATGTTCCTTCTTATGTTGGGGGGGAGTGTGAGGGAAAGATAGATATAAATGTTTACTTTTTGAATTTCTAGTGAGAATCAGGATGAAGAAAGGAAAAGAGACAATGTAAGGTGACAAACTTAGGCAGCAAATCACACATGCAGGATTGTTGGGGAAAAGAGGAAAAAAAAACCCTCATAAAGGGTGTGCAGTTTTCACTAAACAAATGCAGCCAGAATGCAAAGGATGCAGAACTCCACAAAAACCACATCAGAATATCTGAAGTAACATGATTATTTAAACATAAGGGTGAAAGGCTTTGTCATTGTTGATATGAAGTCACAGACTATTAGCCATCATCAACACACACCTGGCAAGCACTGTTTTGGAAGTACAAATATTTATTTTGGCTACTAATATAGGATTTTACAAGTTTACAAAACCTGACTGAGGAAGATACCTGACTGATGTTTGAGAACACTTCAGGAAGTTAGAGTATTTAAATTCCAATGTAAATTTTACTTCTAACATCCATTCTGAGATTAGCTATTCTTTTTGGATTTTCAGAACAGCTGAGAGTAGAACTTGAGGCATTCACAGAATGGCTGCCAGCAGTGGATTACCAAGTCAGTTCAGCCTTCCCAGGGAGAACTGTGCTTTCAATCCTGCTCTATTTAATATACAGAACAGCAAACTTTAACCAGTTACACAAAGAAACTGGAAAAAATACATTAAGGTCACTCAGATATTGAAAATGTGAAAGAAAAGCCAAACAAGTTTTATCCCAGCCTGGAAAGAACAGCATCATTAAAGGAAGTTACCACAGTAGTCACAGCTGCCAACAAAATCAGGCCAAGATGAAAAAAATGCTGGCAGCACTGGGAAAAGTGAGTCCCTGGAAGGACACAGACACTCATTTACAATAGCTCATTAGCCCTGGTCTGGGAGCTGTTTTTAACCACAAATCTGAATTGTACATGTGAAAGTCTACACATTCAATATGAACTGTGGACCCATGGTAACAACTGCCCACATCCATGCCTGGAGAACAGATTCCACACAAACTGCACTGGGCTTTTTCAATCTCCACTTGTGGAACAGGACAACACAAAGCTTTGTTACCAAACTACACACTTGAAATTCTTTTTGAAGAACTTGGCAATTTTTATAAATATCCATGTTTATGCTATTTAAAATGCTATCACAGACACTGTGACCTTGTTTGAGCATGGTTTTTAGTTTATTTCCTTTTTTGTCTCAAAATCGTTTTTAGGTGATGCAGCAGATAAAAAATTTCAAGGATAGATCATCAACAGAAAGAAAAAGTTTTGGGTAGAAGCTCAAAGAAGCAGTTTCAAATGTAGAAGTCAGTCAATCAATATATCTGAGGATGTACTTTTCTCACATAGCACTGGCTAAATTCAAGATAGAAAACTGAACTCAGTGTTTAGAAAGGGGGAATATGTTGGCAAAAACAGCTGTATGTAAATCCATATTGGCAAAAAACTAAGAGACAGCATAAGAGCACCAGTTCAGTGAACTCTCACAGCATCAAATCTACCCATAAACACCAATTCCTAATTAGCCCAAATTAGCCTCGTTCCTCCTGCTGAAGTCAACTACACCAAATGCTAAAATACCAAGGAAACATGGTATAAAATAACAAGGTAGTAAGAGAGTGGATGATAAAATTCAAGGTTTTTTTTTTTATTTTGAAAGAATTTAGCATTACAAAAATCCACTTGGAGCAGAAAATACCTGTCTCCAATGCCAGCATCCATGTTACAGAGAAGTCATCCAAAAGCAGCTAAAAGGCTATTCAGGCAGAGAGTAACTCTGTCACATTAAAATCATGGGCTCTTCATCCAAACACCCTTTCACTTTCACAAAATATCAACAAAACACACAAGCATATAGGACATTTAACTGTTGTAAGAGTACCTAAGCCTCCTTTAACGTGTTCCTTTATGTATTTTAAGGGAGAAAATTTATTTTAACTCACTGCAGAATGCAAGACTTCCTACATCAGCATAGAAAAGCAAAGCATGACTCAAAGCTGGGGGGGAGAATTCCTGCTTCCCTTCATTTCCAAGGGACTTTGCCCATGCAGCATTTAAAATAATGCATATTTCCTAAATCCTGCACTCTGACTTATAGATTTCATCTAGTTAATAAAAAGTAAGAGCAATTTTCATACTGCTTAAAATCTCTTTTGCCTAAGTAACCCATGCAAAGGTGAACTCTCCCAGCAATTAATGGGGCGTCAAGAGTTTTTTTAGCTGCTGTGGTTCTCAACACTAGTAAAGTACAACATAAGTGATAAGTGGTCCAAAGGGGACGCACGTGAAATCCAAAAAAAGACAACAAAATATTGTGATTCCATTTGCATACATCTGTTATTGTCACAAAATAATTAAGAAATTATATAAAATATATCCACTTGTAAAAAATGTACAATTTTTATACAGAGATGTACCATTTACATATTACAGCAGTACCTGCAGACTGCTGAATTTGCTTCATTTGAAAATATGTTGGTTCAAGTGCTCCATCATTTCCCTATTTTCTTCCAAAGCAGGAACTGAATGCCAGGTTTTTAACTCTGCTGTTCTTAAAGACCTTTTTCTGACACGTATTATGAAAAAAAAAAACCGTAGCCAAATAAATTAGAAAACTGGGGAGGAAAAAATCCCAGCCAGGAGACAAAACAGAACAGAAGTAGACAATGGATTTGGCAAGACTGGACCAAGGAAGCAAGAGAAGAAAACAAACTGGTAGGGAGGCTGAAAATGAACAAAACAGCAGGAAACCAGATTCAGCTGGCCAGGAATGGAGGGAAAAGAAGGGAAGGAGGTAGGAATCTTAGGAGCAGATTAAAGAACAAAGGGCAAGTTGGGAAAAGTCTGAGACTGGACATGAGGGGATTGCAACTTGGAAAAAGAAATGAGGAGCAGCCCAGCAAGGGGATTGAGAAAACAGGCCCTGAAGGGAGATCAGACTCAATGGAACAGGGCGTGCTCTCAAACAGGCACTGCCAGCATCAGCCATGGACTCACTGCCTCACACTGGCAGCACACACTGTGGCCAGGACAAAGCACACAGGAAAAGTGGAATTTGTAGGTGTTATGGGGAACAAGCTTGGGTTGTTCCCCACCCCCAAAAGTATTTTTCAATCTATTGATCCCATTGATCCTCTTGGCCACGTGGCTGCAAGGGTATCTACAGACACAAGGCCAACAGGGGGCACGTGCAAAGGGAGGTCAGGAGAAAACACTGCCTGCTTTGTTGACATCTTCTATCATTCAGAAAAACTTGTGCTTATTTGTGAGTACTGGCACAAGGTGAAAAAGGACAAGAGAGCAGTGCCCCAGCCAGGGTGAAATAAAGTCTGCCACTGCTTCAACACCTTTCTTTCCAGTGTGACTATTAAGTTCCAATACACTTCTGCTGTCACAATACTCATGACTAAAACAGGACAATTTCCTCTTGTAAATCCCACTTCTTGAGAGCAGTCAACTGTTCTTCCCAGTTTCATCACAAGCTTTAGTAGATTTATAGGGAAATCTCAAAGCCTTTAAGTAAAATAGTTTTCAGTAGAGACTACTGAAGCCAGAAGTAACTCAATAGACCTCTCTCTTCACCCATATGTTGGCCCTTTCTCTCCCTCCCCCACCTAAAAATAATAAAAACCAAAATAATTAAATCAATGACTCAGTGATAATGTATTTGTTCTCAGAACAGCTTGCTAGCAGAATTCAGTCGAATGCTGCAGACAAATAATTTGATCATTTACTCATCATGTTACCACAAGAATTTGGCAAACTCCAGAAAATAATTAAAAACAGCATTAATTCATACATTTTAGTATGTTAATTTTTCTTAAGCCACTGCACAAATACACTACCCCATGTTTTTAAGTTGTACTTTTTAAAAATATCAGTGAAATAAATCCTGTTGCCAACAAGAAAAATAGAATTGAGAGCTGAGAATCTGAAACAGGCAAATACTGGAGAGGGGTTCTGGATGTGCACCTTAGGCATTACCCACACTGCAGCTCACGTACACACCTGAAGAACAATTATATTAATTAAAATGTAATAGCTGAGATTATCATGTTTCTTTTCTCTTCAAACAGCTAAAACACACTATAATCCAAAACCTGGCCCTGTTTAACATGAATTTGTAATGGTCCTTCTAGATCTTAAAAATCACATGCCTTTCATCTTTTCTCCAGGATACAGATAAGGGATGGGAAGTGTTCAGGCTGCACTAAGGATAAATAAATGTCTCATAAAGACACAGGCTGCCAGCAATTCTCATGAAAACTCAGTACTGCATTTAGTATCCCATATCCCACACAATAACTTGCCTTGAGCAAAACATTCCATCTTACCGTGACACAAACTTGCTCACATTTGAATCTTCTCTGGATTCCATTATAATGCTGAGATCACTAACAACAGCAGACACTTTCTCATTGTTCTAGGTTGGAGAAGTAACAATGAAATATTTTAGAAATTGCTCTGGTGAGGAGAAAAATGTGTCTATTTGCATATAAAAATATAGAAAAAAGTAGATATTAATGCTAACTACTATAAACCTTAAAATAGCATTTTTAAAACTACAGTTTGTGCGTGTGAACAGTTTCTTTCATTTCAAGAATAGCACCATTAGCCACACAAGGCTTTTGGATTAACACCTGAGTTTGTCAGCATAGAAAAAATATATATATAAAGGAAGGTTCATTACTTTTCACATCAATCCCACTTCTTTAAGATTCTTCTCATATTCCAACACAACCTTGAGCTGCCACATGTACCAGAAAATTCACATATAAGGTTTTATCTGTTAGTTTTGGGCTGGTTTTTTTTTTAAATTTTAAACGCTATCATTTGTCTCAAAATATTGTCCTTTTTTGCAATCACTGTCTTGAGCAGGTTTTATCTGTTAGTTTTGGGTTGTTTTTTTTTTTTTTTTAATTTTAAACCCTATCATTTGTCTCAAAATATTGTCCTTTTTTACAATCGCTGTTACTCAGAAATATATGTGGGATAATAAAATTATTCTAAGTTAATTAATAAGTTGTTAAAGAATGAGAACAGGTGGTCAGAGTAGAAATGAAGCCACAAAAGAAGTTAATTCTCTTTTCTATACATTCTTGAGCACACCAAAGTAATGGATTTAATAACAGTGAATGAAAAAGCTTAAAATCATGGTTTGAAGACCACAGGAAACGCTTCACTTTAAACTTCTTATACCAAGTCACTACAAGCAAATGGGAATGGCAAGAGAGCACTACACACACATCTCAGCAGTCCCTGTACTGCTTGGGCAGAAGCCCTGCTGACACTGCCATCACTAAAGATGGGAAAAGCACAGCAAGGCACTACAGAGATTAGTGGATGTACTAAATAACATCAGGAAAAATCATTTTAGGCTTAGAGCACAAGGTTCAACAGGGGGATGGAGTTGTGGAGAAGCTGCCAGCAGTCACAAGCTAACATGCCACCTTCTGAAGGGACTGGTTTACCAATGTGGGGGGGTTACTAACATGCTAAAATGCCATTGTGGGGCCAAATAAAAATATTTAAAAGGAAATTTCTGCACAAGAAAGAAACTCTTTTTAAATGATTGCTTTCCCAAAAGGCTTAGACTTGTTTTGGCTGATTTTCAAGCTCACGTCCTCTCCTAATACTTAGTACTATGGAGCTGAGTTAACTCTATTGTGACTTCACTACTAGAATAAATGCCTACATTTAACACTGTGAAAATAAGATTCCTGATCTTCTGCTGCATACCAACAGACCTGTTACCTGCTGGGCACTTCCCAAAACCAGCTTTTACTCCTCAGGACAGGTGAAACTGGTTATAATAACTGCACTACCTTGCCCATGCTAATGGCAGGACAGGTTATTTTGAGTATGATGTACTTTAGAAAACAAACAAAAAAAAAAAAGCAAAAAACAGCTCAAAATTATGCTTTTACAGCTGAAGTGAGGGTTTTAAAGTATATATACACCTGGTATTCCCTATCTCATCAGCATTCAAAGTAGCCCAAATTTTAGACGTTAGGCAGCCAAGTGCTGCCGCTCAGTGGTGCAATGGCTTTAAGCACCGAAACCATCGGCAGTGAATTTAACACCCAGTAACCCCTCTGAGCCCCACTGACCCCCCAAAAGATGTCATCATGCTGCAGGAGATGCAGCTGAGAAACATTCTAAGTTCAGTTTTACACATGCAAATGTAGAGAGGCATCATGAAGACCACAAGTTTTAAGTCACAAATGGACTTCAGATGTTGCTCATTCAGCTGAACTCTTGCAGTTTCAAAGGATAAAATCCACGTATGGCTACCTAAATATTCAATTCCCAAATCCATAATATGGCTTTTCTAAAGAATAGGAAAGCCATCTTCACTGTTCACTCTCAGTCCTCTCTCATTAAATTAAAAAAAAACAAAACAAACCAGCCACCAAACAACTTTAAAGCTGAGCTGAAAAACCAAGTCTTTGTGATGTTAGAAATACCATTACAAAGTACAACAGTGTTAGAAAAATGTTATTGCAAATTGGGGTAGAAACTGTTTTCCTTTGCTTAGCATCTTGAATTCTGTGCTAAGAATAGTCTTATGAAAGAGCTGCATTCCAGAAAATCTGCAGTCTTTGGTGTAACTTGTGGCAGTGCTGCATTGACTACTCACATTAACCAAGCCCACACAAATATAATCAAAGGGAAAAAAGCCAAACCCAAACCAACATAGAGAGCTGCTGAAGTTTGTAGTGTTTCAGCATTTCCTCAGTTTCTTCCAGAGGGGTAACATTTGGCATCTTCCAGTTTCCAAAATAAGATATGTGACTATAGAATGTGCTGTGTGGGATGAAACCTGTGCTGGGTCAGGGCCTAGTGGGCACCTGGCAGAGCTGAAGGACACCAAGTGTTCCCAGGGCTTTACCTCAGTGTCAGTCTGTAAGAGCATCCTGCAGGGAGCACCTTTTGGGAAGGAAAAGTGATAAAGACTTGGCAGTACTGGGTTAACAGCTGGACTTGATCTTGAAGGTCTTTTCCAACATAAATAATTCTACAGGAACCACTTCATGGCTCAACACTCAACCTGACTTATCTACTAGCAACTATCTTGCTCAGATGCACACAGAAGTCCTAAGTTGAGTCCAGATGTTAAAAAGCCAAAAGAACACACTGAAACTTAGATGAAACAGTTGAAGGTTTCAGCTGGAAAAGGCAGCAGTGACATTTTCCATTTGAAGTTTTGTTTGGTAGCTGTTTTTTATTTAAAGCATACATTGACCCTTACCTGCATTTCAAGAAGCTGGAATTCCAGTTGAAAAGACAGGGAGTGACACCTCCCTGATAATCTGTGCTTCTGCACCGTCCTGTTTTGAGCTGTTATAAAATCAAGTTAACAAAGTAATCAATTACACTTCTATTCAATCACTACTGCATTTCTTCCCTTAGTTGTATTTAAAGTACCAACTATTACCATTCCTCATGTAAAGAGGTTTAACATGCTAAAAAACACCAACAACTGACTCCACTTTCCCTCTATGCAAAGCACAATTGTAGTTCTGCTTCTTTCCCATGAAGGAAAGTACAATATTTACTATTTTGTCAACGAACCAAATCTTATTGTATTTCAAAGTAATTGTCTTTCTGCTAACAGCCAATTAGAACAGAGATTTGCAGATGAACTGCAACCAGTACGCTCAGTGAAGGGCACAAAACTGCTTACTTTTTTCCACTGTTTTCTTGGAATGACTTGTGAAATGAAAGCCAGTAAATTCCATTAAAAATGAGAGATCTGTTTCTAGACTTTCAAGCTGAGCTATCAGGTCTGATGGAGATTCATGTCCCTTGGTTTTTCCCTGAGTTTCTGTTTGGAACGATTTTCTAGAATAGAAAAAAAAAAACTAAAGTCAAAAGGGCAAAATACCCAGACATAACATGTCAGTACAGCAATATCATTAAATAAAAGGCATTAGTAATGGGATCTGATGGTTTTCAGACCCAAAGCAGTTTCCAAGGAGTCAAGTTTCAGTTGGATCACATTGCTGGAAACAGTAAACTATTCTAACTTACATAAACTTTTTCCATTCACTACCAGGTAGACACAGCTTTTATTCCGAGTCTGGAGGTGCAAGAGTCCATTTTGAGAAATGTGCAAAAACATGCAAGTAAGATGCCTTTACTCATATAAGTGACTCATTTTATCCATGGAGTTTTGCATTTACTAACATAAGGAAAGTCCTAACATAGAGGCAAAAGCTTATCCCAAACAATTTTGACAAAGAAATCCTATTAATGTAACAAATGAAAAAAAAGCATACATTGACTTCAGTATCTCCTCATCAGAAAAGAAGGTGGATTCTTGTTGCATATCTTCATACTCTTCTGTCAACAGCCTAATTTCTTCTTCCAGTGCCTGGATTTCCTCTTCATAAGCTTGAAAAACGCCCTCGTCCATTTCTCAGAATCACTGCATAAAACGAAATAAGGATTTTTCTCAGGAACAAACACGGAATCAATTTTTTAAAAACACAAATATAACATGAGGCAATTGTTTCAAGATACAGAGCACTGCCAACCTCCAGAGACAGAAGTTAAACCAGGGATCTAATGCAGTCAAAGGCTTTAAGTACCTTTTTAATTAGTCATTATTTGATCCAGGAGGGCACTCAGCTGTTTTACATTTGCTGTAACACAACAACAAGCTGTTCCACAGGTAAAAACCAACTGCAATCAGATACAAAAGCAGAACCCAGCTTTGATCAATTGACCTAACAACTCACCTGGGCAGACGAGGCACAGCTGCTCCTAACACAATCTACCTTCAGAGTAAACAGCAGGACACTAATTGCAAACATGTTTCACCAATAATTTAAAAAATAAACCTCAGTTTTCAGGAAGAATAATAATCTGACATTCAGCCTAGCTACAACACATTCAGAAGTGTGTGGAAGATGTATGCAGCTCAAAACTAATGTGCTAATACTTTTGACCAAGAAAAACCCAACATTTAGTTTGTGTGTTTTTAAACCACCCTTACTCTGTGTAGGGTGGTTTAAAATGTGGGGCGTGTAAAATATTTTAAACCACCCCTACTCTATGTGGTGTGCAAATTCCACACTAACATTGTTCAGTCAAAGGGGACAAGGGGGATATTGGATTTTATTAGTTTATTTATTAGTTCCTAGGAAGCAGTGCCTTTATAACACACATAAGAAAACAACATCAAAAGCACACTTTGCATTAAAAATTTGCTTAGTGAGTAAAGGAAGCATATGCAATTAAATAATCACCCAGTCCTCACCAGATTTTTTTGGACTGGATATGGTGAAGAAAGTCATGGTCACAATAAAGAGTATAGTGTGAAAAAGAAAAACATTACCACAGCCAGAATGTTACCCCAGGTCAGCTGATCCCTCTTTTAACTGCAGTAACAGGAGACATAAACTACTTACAGCTACTTAAACTCAAGGATTTCACTAGGCGGCAGAAGACTCAAAGGCTAATTGCGACTTCAAATATTTTATATCTAGAACAAAATACCTACTCTTGAATCAAGTAAAACAAAACCCTAACAACCACTCTCCTCTTATATATCATACGTGTGTATATCCATAAATGTTTTGCACTAACAGCACATCTTTCACGTTTCTACGTACCTGCCTGTTTACAGCTCCGAGTATTTGACTTTATGCTGCCCCAGGAGGAGCTGGGAGCGTTTGAGAACCGAACCTGCGCGTTCCGTGTCCGCTGCTTCCCTGCGGACCTTCCGACCCTCGCAGGGCGGTGCTGAAATCGCGACTCGTCCGAGGAGCCGGGGCCGACCCGCGCCGAGGCTCGCAGGTGCCCCAGGGGCGGAACGGATGTCCGAGCACCGCAACCGGGAGCCCCGGCAGCCGCGGACACCCGGCCCGGAGAGAGGAGCGGCGGCGGGCGGCACGGACGGGCGGGCGGCACGGACGGGCGGGCGGCACGGACGGGCGGGCGGCACGGACGGGAGGGCGGCGCTCAGGGCGCTGAGGGGAAGGGAGCGCTCAGACCCGGCGCGCGCGCCCCGCGCTTTTCGAACCGCGCGCCAACCCACGAGCCTGGGCGCTACCACAGCTGCTGCCCGAGCGGGTGGCTCCGGCCGCGCCTCGCTTCTCCTCCCTGCCGAACAAGAGAGCTGCTAGGGGATAATTCCCAAGGTCTTTATCATAAATGAAAGCAATAAAAGCCTTGCTTTGTCGGCTGTTCCCTTGTTCGCCTTAATTTTTGCTCACGAGTTCCGGAAAACACCCCCGCTTTTCTTCCTCGTTAGTCACTTTCAAAGCGTCCGCTGTCACAAGACCCAGCCCCCGTGTTCCCACCACACCTGGCCGGCTGGAAACAGGAACCCAGCAGAGGCGAGCAGCCGATCAGAATCCAGCGGCACCAGGAGGCGGAACCCTTTCTTTCGAGTGAGGGCTGGGAAGAGTTGCGGGGGGGAAGGTAAGGCGGTGGCGCTGCGAGGTTCGCACATGGCGGCGGTGAGGCCGGGTCGGGGGCGGCGGGGTCGGGCGTCCTTCGGCATCTCCCGGGACGGCTGTGCTGGGCTGTGCTGGGCTGTGCTGGGCTGTGCTGGGCTGGGCTGGGCTGGGCTGTGCTGTGCTGTGCTGGGCTTCCGCAGCAGGGAACCCTTGGGATATGTTGTAAAGAGCCGTTTGCGCTTATTTTCGCCCATACAGTTACATGGTTCAGTGTTTTAAGAAACCCCTGAGCTCTGGTTTCCTGCAGCAGCGCGGGGTTTGCTGTCGCCGCTCTGGAGCAGAGCGTGTTACCCACTGCAACTCAAAGGAGTGCTCTGCTCACAAGGTGCTTCGTGGCTTTTTAACGCACTGATTTGTCCGCGATTCGTTTTTCTAATCACGTTACTTTCCGTGAGTGTCACTGAACTGTTTTGTCTCCTTGCAGAGGAACAGAGTGTGTGTTCTGGTGTGACCCCTGGGCTTGGCAGCATGGAGAAGGAGCGGGTTTCCAAACGTCTCTATGTGGGAGGGCTCGGCCATACGGTTTCCAAGGCTGAGCTGGAAGAAAGATTTGGCAAGTTTGGGAGTGTATTGGACACAGAGATTATTACCATGAAAGATGATCAGGGTAATGGTTTTCTTTCATCTTTTAAAAGTTATTTACTTTTCTTTTTGGAGTGTGAAATGGAATTTTTGCTTTAGAGACACTTCAGTTTTAAAAGAAATGCTGAAACTATATAAAATTAACTTAATGTTTGTCATTGATCAGGGAATCCTACGAAAACTTTTGCTTACATCAGTGTCAACATTTCTGATGCAGATCTGAAAAAGTGTAAGTACTTTTTTGGTTTTTTGTTGTTTTTTTTTTTTTTGCTTAGTTATGCTTTTCAGCCAAGTTGCATTGCTGATAGCTCATCTCATGTTGTCACATCCAGCTGTGGTCACGGTAGAGACTCTTTCATTTTCTTGTCAGGTTGATTTTATTTTCTTTAAGCTGCAGTTTTGTGGAAGCTGCTTTGCTGAAGTTTTCAGAAATTGCTGTGAGCAGATGGAAAAGATTCCTTGTGACTGAAGTAGGTGATTTGTGAGTTTCAGAGACTCAGAGAATGGTCTGCCTTGGAAGGGACCTTAATGATCATCTCATTGCACCCCCTGCCATGGCAGGGACTCCTTGCACTGTCCCAGGCTGCTCCAAGCCCTGTCCATCCTGGCCTGGGACACTTCCAGGGATGGGGCAGCCACAGCTGCTCTGGGAACCCTATTTGTTTGTTCTAAGCCTTTTATGCTTCATGTGCTTTCATCAGACCTATAAAACACTGAAACTGATTTCTGTGAGAGGACACCCAGAGGAAGAGCTGATGTAAAGCTTCTGTTGCAGTGTGCCCCTGGGTCTGGGGAATGCTGCCATTAGGCACTTTTGAAGGGAGAACTTCAGTTTGGGATGTAAACCTGCTGGGTTAAGGTTTGGATGTTGGCCCTATCAGATACAGCCCTAACCCAAGTGAGCAGTCAGGTGTAAGGTCATGCTGAGGGAACCTCAGGCTGCCATAGAAGGAGGCCTAGTGAAGTCTGTGATGGGCTGTTGTTTTTTATGTAGAAAATACTCATTTCTCATCTTTGTTTTGCAGGCATGTCAGTTTTAAATAAAACAAAATGGAAAGGTGGGACACTGCAAATTGAGTTGGCCAAAGAAAGCTTTTTGCACAGGTAGAAATCAATCTTTTCAAATGTATGTTGTTGCTAAAACTGCCTTTTTTCTGCTTATCTGATAATGTTATGGCTTTACTTTCATCTTGTACACTCTTATTGTTTCAGTTTTGATAGACTCTCTGGTCTGTTGGTTTACCTTTGATGCTGTAACACATTTTGCATCATTATTCCCTCAGAGGTGATGGTGTTAATTCCCTGAGTAGTGAGTGGCTGCTGTTTTGTGGGAGGGGATCACTGCCAGCTCCAATTCTGCACCTTTTTCCATGGGTCATGTGCTTTCTGGTACAGGCTGGCCATGGAGAGGGAGGAAGCAAAGCTGCAGAAAGAAAAAACACAGAGAAATGACCAAATGTGTCTGTTGGAATCACTGAAAAAAAAGGGAGTTGTGGACTTCCACATGAGAGCAGTACCAGGTACAGAGGTGCCAGATCATAAGGTATGGTGGGGTAGATGTAGAAGTGTTTTATTCTATTATGATATGTATTATATTAACATGCTATATTAAAATTATACTAGAAGAATAGAGACAAAAGATTTATCAGAAGGCTAGAAAGAACAGGAATGGAATGAATAACAAAGGCTTGTGACTCTCAGTCTGAGCCAGCTGTGATTGGCCATGAATTAGAAACAACCAACATGCACCAATCACAGCTGCACCTGTTGCATTCCACAGCAGCAGAGAGTTACTGTTTACATTTCTTTCCTGAAGCTCTTCAGCTAGAATAGGAGAAAAATCCTACCAGAGGATTTTTCATAAAATGTCATGGCTACATATAAGAGAAATAAGACAACAAAAAGCAAGCTCATTGCATCTAAATTCATGCCAAATTTATGCTTTGTGTAAAGAAACTACATTATTAAGAGTGACAGTCCAAGCTGTGGAAAGTACTCTGAGGAAATGCCTCGTGTGTAGACATGGGGAGGGCTCCTGTCATTCTTTGCAATGAAATAATCATGATCATACTGTCTACTCTTGCCATGTGAAATGAGGAAATGCCCTGTTCCTCATTTGTACTGGGAATATGGTTGTGTCACCCTTAAAAGCCTGTAAAGGGACTTATTTCTATGCACCACTTAACTTTTGGTGGCTGGGTTGGGCTTCAGCACAGGATCAGGGTCTGCCCATAATTGCAAAAGAAAGAATGAAGTCACCTGACATGCAAATTTAGGCAACAAAGTTTATATTTGCTACAAACTTATCAAAACTGTTTGCTAAAGCACAGAATGGTTTTGGAGGGATTTTTAATTTTTTTTTTTTGTGAGAAGGGGGAAAAGAGCAAAATAATAGTGAACCTGTCTTTGTAGGTACCACTGTTAATTCATAAACCAGAAACCCTGTGCTAAAAATAGCACTTGTAAAGAAATTTAGTTCTTTATTATCACTCTTTGTTTGTAGGTTGTAGAAATTTTTGGTTGGCTTTGGTTTGTTTTGTTTTTGAGAAGGAGGCTGGCCAAGTTGCATGGTAGGGCTCACTAGAAAGAATAAAGAAAAAAGAATTAATCACATGTGGTCTTTATTAGTGTTTTTGTTATTCACAAATAAAAATTCGTTTAGTTCCAGAGTTACTTCTACTCTCTTTTTTTTTAACGCTGATTATTTTTCTTTTCTTTCAGAAATGGGTTGTTGGAAAGTTTGGCAGAGTCTTGCCTATCCTGCACCTCAGGAATCAACAAAAAAATAAAATATCCTTTTCTGATAGTTTGGCCTTGAACACAATTCCCTTCTTTTGTCATATGGAAAAACAGTTGCTTGACAGTCCTAATTTTTACTCCCCTGTCAAGCTTAATTTACTGAATCCCCCAAGTAAATCCTGTAGTAAGTTTGTGTGACTTGAGTAGCTGTTTACACTGCCCTCAGTTGCTTAAAGGCTTATGGTCACAGCATGAGACAGGATTCTTTGCTGTCTTTTCCTGCAGAATTCAGCCTGTTTGTAAAGCCCTGAGTCTGCTGAAAGAACTGGGGGCTTTCAAATCCTTAACTCAGACTAACTTGGTGAAGTATGACCCCTCAAAGTATTGCCACAACCTGAGGAAGCTGGAGCCAGAGCTGGCCCATGCAGCTCCTGTATCCCAGCTCACCTGGAGCCTGGAAGGGGGAGATGACAGCGTGCCCAGGAAGCGGCCAGGGGAATTCCCTGGCACGAGGAAACCACCGGAGAAACGAAGGCAGCTGGGCAGAGAGGCCCTGAATGGAGCAGCTCTGTCCTCTGAGTGCCCATCAGGTCCCAAACACACAGACTCACCCCAGCTCAGCCACAGAGCAAAACCCAGACCTGGTGAGGAGTTGGAATTGCCTCCAGCAAAGAGACTGGATGGGAAAATATCTAAAAATGCTAATGGAGTTACAGCCAAAAATAATATCAGTGTTTCTGATAGTGACATTGATTCTGAAGAGGAGATCAGAGCAATGGTAAAGAAAGAGGCAGAAAGACAGAAAGCTGAAAATGTGGAGACTGAAAATGAGCACTTGGAAATTGTTGGGGATAATTTTGAATTAAAATACAGTAGCCACTGGTCCTTAAGCAATTTGGATGCTATGAAGAAAGC